CAGAGGGAACCCCAAATGCACCCGAAGCCAGCCATCCCTCCCCACTGGCCCAGCATAAGACGCCCTCAGACGTCCCGTCAAGTCTTAGCCATCGTCCCTCCTGGTGGCTGCAGTGGCATCCCGCCGGCTGCCCCGGCCACTCTGGCTTGTCCGTGTCTACACTGTAGCCAGAGCGGTTCCTAAACAATACTGACCCGATCATATCACTCTCCTCTGACAACCCACCACCACGCTTGGGACAGTATCCCAGCGCTTCACCCGCGGCCCTCGCTGCCCTCTCGCGGGTCCACCGCCCACACCCTGCTGACCTCCCGCGTCACCACTTCCTCTCCGCTCAGTGGACCACACGCACCCTCGGCTGTGCCTCAGGGGAGCCGCGGGGCCTCTGTGCTCACCTCTCCCATCTGGACGGCTCCTGCCCCACACACCTGCACGGCGCCCCCTCACCTGGACTCAGGGGTCTGCTCAACGGTCACCTCTCAGAGGCCTTTCTGAGTGACCGTATCAAACAGCACCCCTTCCCCGCGATCCCCAGCATGGAGGCCGGCACACTGCTTCAATTCTCTCCATTTCCCTGAACACCGCCGGGGCCTCATTCATTCGTTCTGAGTGTCTGCTTTACCCTCGCCAGAGCGTGAGCTCCAGGAGGACTCAGGGCAGCACCCCGGGGGCGGGAGCAGCGCCCAGCACCGGTAGTTTGCTCAGTAAAGACAAAGTGAAGGAACACACAAATGTAAATAAGCACTTTCTGTCTGGCAGCCTCGGTACCCCACAGTGGGGCATAAAGATGAATGACAGGCGGGATGGACTCTTTTCCCTGGAGGAACTTTAACCCTCGCACTGAGGGGCAGAAAGCACAGTGACATGAGCTCTGGGGAAACGAGCCGAGGGGTCAGAGAGGAGGCAGGGACAGACCAGGGCCAGATTACGAAGGAGTCTGAATCCACGCTAAGGAACAGGACAGGGACTCCCCCAGAGCACCCAGCACCCAGCACTACACGGGAACGCAAGAAGTGAAGAACCTGAAGTCAGAGGGTCAGAACGCAGGGGCTCTCGGCGTGGAAGGAAAGGAGACATTGTAGGTTTCTAGGAAAAGCCACTGCCCGCCTGGAAGGGGGAGGAAGCTGGAAGAGAAGCATGGTGACTGGGTGGGGGACAAGTGGAGTCTCTGGCACCTGCGACCGTGGGTCTAGGTCACAGTGCTTTCTCTAGTGGCCGGAGAACCCTGGACAGACTCAGAAATTCCACAACCCTGCTCCCTGATCTTCTTCTCTGTCGGGGACTCACGCCGTCCTGACAGAGCTCAGCCACATGGGTCCCACGCCGTGGGAGCGACCTCTCAGCCGTGCATGAGGAGCCCTTACCAGATGAGTAAGGTTAACATACGCTTTGTCATGCTTTCCAAAAACAAGGGATACCTGTTTTGCAGTGAAGTCTGACACAAATGCAGAGACTCCCCAGGGCTTTTTCCTAGTCGGTAGCTTGGAAGTCCAATTCTAAATGGGGAGACAACATTATTTACAATTTTAAAAATCGAAAAGTTCCCAAAGATGGGCATTATTGTTGTTTTCCACTTCGTAATGCCGTGGAAGTCCCACATGAATGTATGTGTATGTACAGATACATATATACACATATAAACATGAGGGGAACATGTTAAGGAGGAAAAAAATGTGAATACAAAGCAAAACTCGTGTTTTAATAGTAAAGGACACCCGTATACAGCGAAGGGCAGAACATGTCTCAAGGTCAAATTCGGCATCAAGGTTTTCCAGAGCCTCACACATCTGGCTGAAGGGCTTGTTACTGGCCCAAATTTTAGTGATCTCATTGCTCAATAAATTATCCTCTCCAGCTTCAGCCTCCAATTCTCTAAGAAGCGTACGATGCAGAAGCAGGAAGAACTAGACTGAGTCCTTTGAGGGCTCGGAGACTCTTAGAGTCAAAGTCAAATGCCCTTGGGGAATTACTGGCCAAACAAGCTTAACTCCTGGGAGCAAGCGAGCTGTGCTCCTGAGGGGCAAACCTCTGGGGGAGGCGGGGGAGAGAGGGCAAGACACAGCAGACAAGCACAGAGTGAGACGTCAGCTCTGTTCGAGAGAATATCCCACAACCAGAAGTGCGGAGAGCCAAATGACTGGAAACGAGCCGTCTGACCCTACCAAGCATTCTAATCCTCTTGATGAGAGCCAAGGAAAGGAGTTTATTTACAGGAGCTGCTTAGCTGTCAATCTCAATCTCTCCTCCTCCACCTTACATCTCTGCTGTGTCGCATTCTCTGAAGAGGGGCCTCCCCAGGAAGGAGCCGGGGAGCCAGGGATGTACCCCAGGAGGCAGACAGGGCTGGATGATCATGACCGCTGGCTTCCCCTTCCTGCGTCCGTCTCCTGCCAACAGGGAAACTCGAGAGAAGACTTCAAAGAATCTTGAGCTGGATGTCTTCTGGACAAAAACCGCTCCTCGGCTAGTACTTTTTAAACGTAACTGGTCCATTTGATCATGTTTGAAACAAAACATAGTTGTACAGAATAACAGATATCATCTAGACTAGGAGGCCCTTATTTTATCTGTGAGAAAAAACAAGCTCTGGGAACTTAGAGACTGGCCCATATCACTGGCATGCTGGGGCTTGACGGGGGCTAGACCCAGGCGGCCCTGCAGCCGCGCACTGGCCTGATTCTGCCCAAGGTGTGAACCAACGGATTCACAGCTTAACGCGCTGCGTCATTTCAATGCCCAAATGACTATGGCACTGGCCGTTAATACCAGTAAAACATGAAATCGCTACTGATCTGAGGAGAAGTCCCAGCTGAGAGAAACAAGGAGTAATCTGCTTAAAAGAAGCAAGCCGGGGCGCCTGGATGGCTCAGTGGGTTAAGCCTCCGCCTTCAGCTCAGGTCATGATCTCAGGGTGCTGGGATCGAGCCCCGCATCAACTCTCTGCTCTCTCTGCCTGCTGCTCTGTCTACTTGTGATCTCTCTCTCTCTCTCTCTCTCTGTCAAATAAATAAATAAATCTTAAAAAAAAAAACAAAGACAAAAAAGGCAAGCCCTATTGTGAGGACACTTCCTAGAACAAGATGTTATTTAAAAGTCACAGTTCTGTGACACATCTGAATTTGTACACAGTATGACTGACAGATAATGTTTTATTCTAGAGCAGTAAATTATTCTCTTGCATGTGCAAATTTTTATGAAAAAAAAAAGAGAAAACAAACTCGTAATACACAAAACAATAAAAATCAGGGAAAAACCCAGGAAACATAATTTGAATTGACCCTGCCTTTGTAAAGCAAAACATACTGGCATTTTTTTCTAAAGGGCTTTCAGGGGGAGAAAAAAAAGTTTGAAATCAAAAGCAGATCTGAAGTTTGGTGGCTGAAAGAATGTAACTTAGTAAATTCTGAGCACCTCACATTTCAACACTATCCTACCTAGTTAGCCTGTTAAAACTAAGTGAACAAACCACCAAAAAGTCTTCTAACCAATCAACACAGCCCAGACCATGGTTTCTATTTTAAACTTAGCTTTACCGTGGCACTACCAAGACAAGACAACCCCAAAATAAATACCATTCACTTAAACAACTTCCTTTACAAAGGCTGACCGTCCCCTCTCAGTGCCCAGTCAGGCGCTGTGCTCATTTCCACTTGTGGATATCGAATTTTCAAGGTGCAAACACATTCCAGGAAAAAACTCATCATTTCTTGGATAAAGTTCGGTGCAGACTCTTGGTCTGCAGTTTGTTTTCTTGATTTAAGAGGATTTCCTTAACATTCAACTGTACTGTGGGTCGTGAAACACAGTCCACTGGACACAAGTGCAGCTTCTCAACACACCAGCTCCCATGCACGGAAGCCACAGCGACAGTCCACTAACAGGGAAAAGCAGACACCGAGGAGGAGAACAATGTTGGCGCTTAGTCGACCCCAAGCAACCCAACACAGAGCTTGCCGGAGGGGGTCTGCGCGGAGTTCAGAGCTTGGGACATAGCTTCGGCCTGGTAGGGTCCTACCAGAGAGACTCGTTCAAGGCTGGAGGCTTAGCAAATGCCGGGCAACAGCCCCTGCTTGACAACCAGGTTGGTTTTAAGAGCAAGCAGAACGTGGGGCATGTCCCACCGTCCTTGGACAGAGCCACGCGGCTTGTGGAAGAGGCGTCAGGGAGGGGACCCTTCCCCCGAGGAAGGACTGATCTGTGTACTGCTATCATTAACCACTTCAGAACTGGTTAATTTTGTATCCTGGAACTACCGGACTAATGTGTTTAATTAAGAAATAAAGGTTAAAGTAATCAGTTATAATAAAAAAAAAGTGGATCTACCTGAAACTAAAATGTGCCCGTTTAAAAGCCTAAGAAACCGCAATGCAATAGCCACATGTTCTTTTAAGTGGCGCACATTCTAGAAGGCAGAAAGCCATGCAGGTTTGTCTGCACTCCACGGGCCTAAACAAAGTCATTTCTTGAGGATGTCTTCTCCCCACGGCCCCCGGCACTCTGGAACCGCTGTTCCGTGTTCTGTGTGTGAGACAGCTTTAAATACGCCCTGCCGAGGGGCCCACTGTCTGAGCCTGCGTGGGGACAGCCACACGGCCACCAGGCCGACTGTTCACAATTTATTTGGTGGGTTAATGACCCCGAGTTTGGGTACTTTATCTGTGATTCGATAGCCTGTGCTCCATGAGGGTTTTCCTCCCTGTGAAAACGGAAGAACATCATCTCCAGAGCCCCAGTCACCGCTCTGTAGGAATCCTGTACCAAACAGGCAGTAAACACAGCATTTTCTTACTTACGACTGCCAGAGCTCTCGCTGGCTCAACAGGGCACGCAGTTTAAAATAATAAAATCAGAATTAAAAAAGGAGCTAGTATGTTTTGATTCCTACTGCTTGAAAACGTTCACTTCCCAACAATGACTACCAGACGTCTGCAAGGCAGACCTCCCCCCCGCCCGCCCCCCACCCCGCAGCCCCGGTGTCCCACAGCTGTCGCTTTACTTACTTGTATTTTAAGAGCAGCCACTGAATTAGCCAGAGTCCTACGAGGATCATGCCGTTAATTTCACAGATAGAAAAGGCCCACTGCACCCGGTTAAAATGGTCGAAGAACGTGTCCGGCAGCGGGGGCTGCACCTCCTTGGGAGGCACTCGCTCGTGGACGACCGAGATCATCACCGTGGTGAGGACGAAGCAGGCCAGTGCATACAGGAAGGCCAGGCACGTCTTGCCCCACTCCATGGGGTACTGGGAGCGCTCCGGCTCCGGCATGGGGATCTTGATCATCTCCTTCCTATAGCCGTTGGGCACCCCGTTGGGCTTGGCCTGGAGGCCGGGGCTGGGGCCGGCTGCACCTGCGCCCAGGTGCCCGTTGGCGTGGCCGTTCTTGTGCGCCTCCATGTGCTGCTCCACCTTCAGGGTCTCGATCATGTCCAGGAGCCGCTGCCCGCTGTCGGCTGACACGCGGCACAGGGGTGGCCGCGTGAAGTCCTCCCGGGTCAGGCCAATCAGGTCCCGGCCCGTGAAGTGCTCCAGGGGCTCACAGTACTCGGGCATGGCGTGCTCCAGCAGCCAGTCTGCCACTTTCTTGGGGGACCAGTACGCCACCTCCTTCATGGTCCCGGCGGGCGGGGGTCAGCGGTCCCGCGGGGGCGCGCCCATGCTGCCCGGCCTCATGCCGGGGACGTGCGTGGCCAGACGTGCGGGGCCGCTCTCGCTCCCGCAGCCCGCACACCGCTCTCGGGGGCTCTCGGTGCCGGCGCGCTCACCTCATGGCGCCCCGGCCATCTTCCTTCTGCGGAGGCAAGAGACACAGTTAGGAGGGGGCTGTATGCAGGTCCCTGCAGGGCGCACGGCCCAGAGCGCGCGCGTCGGGAGGACGCAGACCCGGCCCCTGCGGAGGCCACGTCTGTCCCGCCCCCACTGGCCCTAGGGACTGCGGGCTCCCCGGCTCGCCTTCCCGGAAGGAGCAGCAGAGGACACCCCGCACGACCGTATCACAGCCTCTCCAAAGGCGTGTTGCCTAAGCAATAACGCAACAGGACTTCGGATGGCTCAGGGGCTCCCTCCGCGATCACTTGCTCACTGAGATAACCTGAAATCAGGCAGCAAATCTGCCTCATTTACCATTCTAGCCGGTGGAGAAATGTTTTCACGTGTACATAAAACCCAGCAACCTAACAGATATAGGAGAGAATCACAGAAACGTTGAGCCTCAGGACCATCTGGTCCAACAACAAGCAAAAATACCAATGAATCCCTTTTTCCTCCATGCGGGGCATTTTCTACTCTTGTCCCACCTGTTTTTCCTTAATAAACATGTACAACTTTTGCAACACTTATAATTTAAAACAAGAAAAGTTAAGAACAAAGACCCAGTTCTATAACAGATCACCATGGTTAGTGAAATATGTCATCAGCAGAAGCCAGACCATAATTGGACTCAAGATCTCCCACAGGTAACCCCCGGGTGAGCTGTAGCTTACTCATCTGTGAAAGGAACAGAGTCAAATACCCCCTCACAGGGCTGTTGTCAGTGCTTTAAAAACCATACCTAAATCCAGCACTGAGAGGGGTCTGTTGATCCCACATCCTTTTTCTCCTTTCTCAATTCTTCTATCCTATCCAAGAGCTACTGTCTACTCTCACTGTGAAAACACCCTAAGAGTGAGCTTAACTTCTTTCCCTCACAAGGTGAATGTTGTATTAACTACAAAAACACCTGCACGGATCCGTAGGGTTCATGGCTAGAAATCAGTATTGGCAGTATTTCCCAAGTATGCCTTGTAGAATAATCATCTGATAAAATGCTCTTTTCAAAAAATAAAAAATCTGAATTAAGTCTGAGGAACTGCATACTAGAGCATCTTCTAGAGAGGGCAGCATGTATTAGTGTATTAGAAGCTCTAGAAAATCCTCCAGGAGGAAAATTTGGTAGCAGGATTTCTCAAATGGATGTCACTAAGTCTGTCCTCCTGGCCACCTCCCCAGTGACTCCCGTCAGCAAACTGGGAGGTATTGGCACAAATGAGACCCAGGCTCCGCTCTACCAAACCCCAAATCTGATTGTGGAATGAAGATGGACAGATGTCCACTCCTAATTTCCCCATCAAATAACAACCAGTGAAATGGCAATAAAGTTCAAGCTAACCCAGACTTTGCAAAAAGGTGGGGTGTTCTTCCTTCTGTGTATGCTGCTGTTCCAGTGCTTTCTGTAACGTGTCTGTCTGCACCCACCCCCCTTCAGGAGACCATGAGTGACGGTGGAAGGGCTACGGTCTTGAGCACCCGCATTACTCACAATGCAGGGGTTCACTCACATCTGCTCATATCTCAAGAAATGTCCCTCACATCTGTCAACATGTAGATGGTGGAAGAGAACACAAAATCTACTGGAAATGCCACTGATACTGAAAACTGCTTCAGAGCAATCTGGATGGTCAAGGAACATGATAAGGTGGGCGTTCTTCAGAAATATGAAACCGGAGTGGACTCTGGCCATTTGACAGGCACCCTAGAGGAGCTTGGGTCATCACTAGGACCAACCGGTGGCCAGAGGACACGAGCCAAATGGAAGTCCAGCCAGACGGTCCTGCGGGAGAGGAGATCTCCTGGCATCACACCCTGGGTCTTGCCCCAAACACTCCTCAGTGGATCAGCCCAGGGAACCCTGCCCACCTTGAAGCGGCTATGAGAGCTCGAAAGAGAGACTCCTGGTGGGATGTTGAGGCCCAAAGGAATGAACGGGCTTCTCAGGTGGGTTCCTTGCTTCCCCTGGCCAATGTGGGAAGTCTAAGTCTACCAGGAGGGGAAACCCCTCAGAACCACAGAGACCAGACCAATGCCAACATGTTATTTCACTCCTCTCTGCTGAGCAAACTGTCAGATAATCTCCTCTTAAGACCTCACCATCTTTACAACAGGAAAACAGCACATGGTCAGAGATGATATGGGACTCTCATCAGACTCACTCACTCTCTGTCTCTCTCTCTCACACACACACACACACACACACACACATGAAGGAACGCTAACCATACAGAACTCATCCAGCAGGCCGTTGATGACAGCGAGAGTTACTCCGAAGACACAGTGAGATAGGCCAGTGGCTCCCACCAATAACTAGGCCAACACAGAGTCGGCTCCCTAAGAGCCACGCTGGCACTCTCCCATCCCCTCTCCAACAAGTGCCACGTCCTCCCTCAGTCCTGCAGATGGTTCCCAGCCCTGTCCCCTCCCTGCATCCCGACACCACCGGTGTCTGCAACGATGCCCGGGAACTGGCTTGTGTGCCCAGTGCTACGAGGCGTGTCAGCCATTTGAGACGGGGAGCCAGCAGCTGAGACCCAACTCGGCCATCTCCCTCCTTGATGGAGCCCTCGAACCCTGCCAAGCCTCAGTTTCCTCTGGAAAACAAGGGTACAGCCTCACCCAGCTTCCTGCGGGCTGCTCCTGCCAGGAGGCTCCCACCAGGGAGAAGGAATGAAAGCTATTCACTACTCCAAGAAATCTGTCTTGTTCTCCTGGTAACGTCCTGCTTTCCTCCTCACACCCGACTGGGCCTGCGGTGACGTCTCGTGAATACGGACTGAAGCTGCCCCTTCCAAAAGCCCAATCGTTCCGCCACACGAGTTCAAAGAGCCTTCCAGATTTCACGAGAAAGCAAACCTTTGTTTCTCAAGCAAGCTTTGCAGCTTGAAAATAAAGGTATAGATGCTATTTTCGTGCAGATGATGCCAAAATCATATAAAAGGGAAAAAGGTCATTTCTCTGGAAGTAAGTGCTTGGCAGGTACTCGGAATGTCAAAGGCCATGGCTCATGGGCAGGACTTAACTAAGACCTCAGGCCTGGCCATGGGAGGAGAGGTGGGAGAATCACTTCCTCCGGGTCCCACACACTCACTTCAGAATAGAATCAAAGACACTGCAGCATTTCTGAGAAGTGTTTCCACATCTAGACCCAGAAGACTATAGGTTAGGCTGAGCTCAAAAAACTACCACCAGCACCTCCGGCCTGAAAAGCCATCCTGAATCCACTACTGGACAATGTTCAGAAACCATGCATAGCTCAAGTCCTTAGACTTGGTACTGAGAACTCAGAAGTCGTAAGAGAATAAAATCTTGATATTCCCCAGTACCAGAATATGAGCAATGGAAAAGGAGCTGGAGGGCTCGTTCACTCACAAGTCTCAGCCATAAGTAAGGTCAAGTCCAGTGAGACTGTGCAGTGTCTAAACTCTCCGGCATAGCAGAGTTAGCCCCGGAGAGAGACAAACCCACCATGCTTTCCAGGGCCGCCCACTGCAAATATTCACAGATGTCCACATGAGTGAAGGGCAGTCTAAGCGTCCTCTAAAAAAAAAACCCAAAAAAACACAAAAACACAAAAAAAAACAAAAACCAAAAACCAAAAACTAGCTACAGAGTCCTATAGGATTAAGGGCAAGGACAACAACACATAGGCCTTATACATTCCAACCTAGCAGGGGTTTCTAGGAGGCCCCAACTGAGTGAAAAATAAATGTGCTAAAACAATTTGGCTCCAATTCTTAGAACAGGTATTTTAAGCTTTAATATCATAAAACCCATCTGACAGTATGCCACAACACACTATGAACTATTTATAACTAATTATCAAAGCCAGCTCTCTAGAACCAAAAAAACAGGTTAAAGCAATTATCCTAGTAATGAAAACAAAACATTAGCCAAACAAAATAACTAAATATTTTATGAATATGTGTTTCTCCCCACTCCAAAAGAATCTACTATATTATCTTATTGTCTGGCGTTGTCTAGAAATAAGACGTTGTATTAACACAAAGCTTCCGTATCAATTAAACAATGAACTCAAGTTTCCAAGAATTCAAATGCCAGAAAATGCGTAGTGTACCCATGAAGCAACTGCTCAGAACATCTGAGTTCTAATAACTGCTCAGTACTTTACTCCAATCCCACTGCCTCAGTCTCCTAGAATGGAAGAATTTATTCCGTCTGCTTCTTGCATTAGTTTAAGGAATTTATGCACAACTGACAGTGCTTTGGGTAACATAAAGCAAGACATAACAATGGAAGAAATTTTTATACTGAATATTATTTATTCTTTGAAGAGTCAAGGAACTTTTAAAGTAAGTGCAATGAAATTAAAAATTGAATTTTTACAATTTTTTTAAGGCACAGTGGACCCAAGACAGAGTGAACTTAGCTGCCAGTTCAATGGAGAAACTACAGCAAAGTTCCAGATGTTTCTACCTGCTGATAGTGGTAAATCAGAGTAGAAAGTAGTGTGCTGCACAATTAGTCTTAGAAGCACATACTGAGTTAAACGTTCTGCTTCTTGTATCAAATCTTTAAAAACAAGAGAAGTAACATGGGCTTTATATGTGAAGTCTACTCTCCTAGCTCAAATAATCAACGCAGTCAAGATCAGAATTGGGGGAGTGTGGAGGAGTTCAGACCTCTAACACGAAACTACCTGTGGGTGCTTTGTTAATGAGCAACACGAATCAGAAACTGACATTATTGTCTTGAAATACACGAACCGCCTTTCAGTAAAAAGAGTAAGTCCAGAAAAAGGTCTTTGCATCCCCGGAACCTTCCATAAAAGGCAGCAGTGACTATCGGACCTTCTAGGGCAATGCAGTCCACTCCAATACTCAGGAGACAGGAGTCCAATTCTCCTCTAACTCAATCTGGTGACCTCTGGAATGCTTTCCTCCAAACTCATTAGCTTCAGATTTTTGTTGTTATTGTTGTTACTTAACACACAAAGAGTTAACCTAAATAGGCAGAATTCAT